AAAAAAAAAAAGACAAGAGTCTTATTATGTCGCCCTTGGTAGAGTGCCGTGGTGCCACAGCTCACAGCAAGTTCAAACTCTTGGGCTTATGCAATTCTCTTGCCTCAGCCTCCCAAGTAATTCGGACTACAGGCACCCACCACAATGCCCAACTATTTTGTTTTTCTTAGAGATAGAGTCTCACTTTGTCACCCTCAGTAGAGTACTGTGGTGTCACAGCTCACAGCAACCTCAAACTCCTGGTCTTAGGTGATTCTCTTGCCTCAGCCTCCAAGTAGCTGGGACTACAGGCGCCCTGCTACAATGCAGGGCTATTTCTTTTTTGTTGTTGCAGTTTGGGCGGGGCCAGGTTCGAACCCTCCACCCTTGGAATATGGGGTTGACGCCCTACCCTCTGAGCTACAGGCACTGCCCTTTTTTTTTTTTTCTAATTGCAGTTGTTATTGTTGTTTAGCAGGCCTGGGCTGGGTTTGAACCCGCCTGCCTAGGTGTATGTGGCCGGCGCCCTAACCACTGAGCTAGGGGTGCTGAGCCGCACATGCTAGCTCTCGTTGCAGCCATCAGAGAGAAAGGGGTTGGGGGGGGGAGGAGGGAAGCCTACCCAGCTGCTCCCGAAGGCCCTTCACTTCTTCCTCCAGCTGCTTGTTGCGGGTCTCCATGTCCTCCTGCAAGATCTCGCACTTGCGTTTCATTTCTGGGGTGGGGCCCGCGGGCGGCCAGAGCCCCGGGTAGGGGACGGAGGGATAGAGAAAGGAAATGAGGCTGTGAGTGGGGAAGGCTGCTTGGTCTAGTGGAGAGGAGCACAAAGGCCTTCTTGCTTCTTGTGATCCTGAAAAACTGGGAGACCCTGAAAATCTGGCAAAGGGATAGAAAACTGGACTCCCTCCCCCTACTCCAGTTAGGATGGGGATTCTAGCCCTTCTCTCCACCCACAGCATGAATGAGATAATGGCAATGACTGTATTTTGGACCTCACAAAGCATCAAGCACATGGTGTCAGGCATCCTGGAAGGAAAGCCCCTGCCCTGGCGCTCAGACACCTTCCTTTGGTTCCTTCAGGATCCTGTCTTCTTTGTAAGATTTGTACCAGGCTGAGACTAGACCTGGCAGTTGGATGCCTGCTTTGTACCCTCTGGGCCTCTTAGTTGTCCTTCCCAGGCCCCTGTCTCCTGCCCACCTGCCCAGCCAACCACGCACCTTCATATATGGCTTTTCCTTCACTTCGGGCTCCTTCCAGTTCAGCCTCCAACCTGTGCAGCCTCTGCTTCACCTGGTCCTCAGAAGTCTTAGCTCGACGGGTCTCCTCCCTCCGTAGAGCTGTGAACAGTCCCAGAGCTGTCCTCAGGACTGGTAGGGGTTCCACTGAATCAGCCCCTGTAGTCTTGATAGACTCGGGAAATCTGGCAGCAGGGCATTCAGCCTCTTACTCTCTCTCTCTCTCTCTTAGAATCTCACAGGCTCTTCATTATTAGGAAGTAAAAACTCTTTCCATGTTCTGGCTGTAAAAAATAGCTCCTTCATCAACCCTCACTGCCCTTGCAGTCTTCCTAGTAGGTGATTGTTAGAGTTCAGCTTAGCTTCCCGCCATAGCTCCAACCCTCCAATCCCCAAGATACAGAAACGCCCCTTTGTGCTGTCCCTCTGCCCCTCCCCCGCTGCCACCCTCCTTACCCAAGTGGTCTCGGAGCAGCTCCTTCTCTAGCACCACCAGCCTGAGCCTGGACTCAGCCTCCATATCTGCCCTGGCAAGTTTGTAGAGCCTTAGCTTGTCTTGATGTCATCCCTCCCTCTCCCCTCCTAGCCTTACCCCACACCTTGCATTTCTGTCCCAAAGCAGATCTGAGGACCACTAAGGGAGGGATCTGAGGGCAGTCTACTGGGCTCACCATTGCCCAGCACCTGGTAGGTACTCAAAATATGGGTGACAACTATATTAAGATGGCACACAACTAGACAGGGCTCAAGGGAGAATATGGGTGGCCATTTCCCCAGTTCCTCAACTCTAGGAATCTGGATTCAAGGCCATGCAGAGGAAGGTCAGAGAGCTCATCTGTCACACAGGAATTCTGTTTGACCTCTGTGCCAGAACACGGAGAAGCAGGGTCACCTACCTCCACCCACCATGACTCACCAGCATCTGAGTTCCTTTTCTTCTGTTGTGCCCCAGCTTTCCTTCTTTTCTCTTTGGTCTTAGGTGGCATCTTGTTACTGTCCTGGGAGAGGGAGAGGACCTTGTGTTTGTTTGGGTCTGGACACAGGAATGCTTTCCTGACCATTGGGCTGAACAAGGAGTCTCAGGAGAGTCAGAATTCTAGTCTCCAAGTCTATATTTTATACTTGCCAGAAAATTTGGTTCTTGGTCTCTTTGGAATATTAGGGAGGGCTTGGGTCAATGGTGAGCATAGAGTTGTTTCTATCAGGCAGGAAGCTCTATGTACAGAAGTTATTCCTCTTAACACTTCTAGAGAAAATAAATCTGTATCTGGTCCCCTCCCTCTTCCTACCTGTAGAGTTTTCTCTTGCCTGTGTTGGGTCTCCTTGGGGTCTCCAAGACACATTCTTGGGAGGGGGCAGAGAGAAGGACCAATCAGCCAGAAGCCTGAGGAGGAGCCTGGGGCCTGGGAGCCAATCCAGGGTGACACATTTCTCTCTGGGGCGGGACTGAGAATTGGAAGGTTGGGTTTCTGGAGGCTGCATGTTGTCTAGACAACTGGGAAACATGGAGTTCAGAGGAAGGTGGAAGGTGCCAAAGCAGCTCACATGGCTCAAAATACCAAGGTCCCCACAGGGCAATTCTCCCCTTATCCCCAGATCCTAAATGTAGGTTGGAGAAAGGGATTTGGAGCTAGTTAGCTATGATTCACTTCCATGTAGGCACTGCCTGCAATTTGGAGACTTAATAAATTACAGATTTACACATCTGAGATACCATCGCGGAGACACAGAGGAAAAGGAGTGGTGGTAGCCATCTTGGGCAATTTACGTCCTAAGGTCCCATCAGCAAAATGGCGTTATTAGGCTTAAAATAGAAAATCCCCTTCAGTAAGGCATTCTACATTGTATGAGGGAAATTAAATGTAGGAGCAGATAGATGAGAGTTTCCCACTTCATAGAAATGAGGCACAGAGGAGAGGTGGACCCAGGGACTCCAGGGTACTGACTTAGAGGAGTGCAAATGTGGAGGGAAGGACACCAGTTGGAGAAGAGAGCCCTGACCTGACTGCGAGGGCCCCTCTCAATCTCAAGTAAATTCCGTGAGCCATTTAACTTTGCCTTTCCTGATCTTTAAATCTTTGCATTTGTAGATCCTAAAAAGCCAGGGTTTTAACTGGGTGTTTATATAACTATCTTCTCTCCTAGTGACTTAATCTATGGCCACACTTCCTGGATTCCCTTGTGCGGCTCATTTTCAGACAGGTGTTGGGAGACCGCTTTGTGAGGCTCCTGAAGGATACAGTTGGTTTGGGCTCCCTCTAGTGGACTTGGTTGGCTTTTCCCAAGTCACCTAAACGTTAGCTCTGAAATTATTTATAGGGCAGTGTTGGGGTGATTCCCTTTTGAGGACACTTCTTAGCATATTGCTGGAGTCATGAGTGGCTGGAAAAAGAAATATGGGGGAGAGAGTGTGGCGGATGGCTTGCCCTTCTTAGGCAGTCCCTCCAGCCTGTGCTGTCCTGGAACCTTGCCATCAGTCTGCCACCTGGATCCCTGGGCACCGTATTGGCTAGAATGAAAACAGCAGAAAACTTCATGCTTTTCTCCTTGTGAATTAGGGACCTGAAGAATCTTTCTTTAGGTACTTCTCTTCATCCTTTCCCCACCCCCAACTTTTGGTCCATTGCCTAGTATCAGGAACAGATCTGTAGAAATAGCCATGAGATCTGGGAATGAAAAATCCTTCCTCTGGGGAGAGGTAGATTCAGACAGAGACAGATTCGTGTTTATTTGTCACTTGTTGGCTGTAGGGCACTACTCTGACCCTTCGGATATTTTACAGAGCAAAGAGAAGAACCAAGCTTGTCCTTTCTTTTCTTTTCTTTTTTTTTTTTTTTGGAGACAGAGCCTCAAGCTGTCCCCCTGGGTAGAGTGCAGTGGCATCACAGCTCACAGGAACCTCCAACTCCTGGGCTCAAGCAAGTCTCCTGCCTCAGCCTCCCAAGTAGCGGGGACCACAGGCGCCCGCCACAACACCCGACTATTTTTTGGTTGCAGCCGTCATTGTTTGGTGGGCTTGGGCTGGATTCGAACCTGCCACCTTAGGTGTATGTGGCTGGCGCCTTAGCCACTTGAGCCACAGGTGCTGAGCCGCTTGTCCTTTCAAGTCCTGACAGCTCCTATAACCCAGGGCTAGTTAATCTGTGCACATCTCCCAAATACTTTTTTTCTAATCTTGAAACATGTTTTTATTCTCCCTCCAGAACTACCGCCCTGAAATGCGGGGGGTTTCCTGCTCTTGTCCTCCTCATCTAGAAGCCTGTTTGGGGACTTTTTCCTTGGGATGATCAGTGTCTCCATTATGCTTAATGCCTAAAGAAAGAAACTGAGGCAAACCTAATATAAGTAGGGAGTTTATTTGGGCCAAATTTGAGTACTGCAACCTGGGAGCATAGATTCAAGTTTCCCTGAATACGCACTTGGATAGGCTGGACACAGTGGCTCATTCCTATAATCCTAACACTCTGGGAGGCCCAGACAAGGAGAATTGCTTGAGCTCAGGAGTTTGACATTAACATGAGCAACAGAATCGGGCATTGTGGCTACTTGGGAGGCTGAGGCAAGAGGATGGCTTGAACTCAGGAGTTTTTGAAGTTGGAGTGAGCTAGGCTGATGCCATGGCACTCTAGCCTGGGTAACAGAGTTAGACTCTGCTTCAGAGAAAAGAAAATAAAGAGTATGCACTCTGATAAACATCAGTTACAAGTGGGATCTAAAGGAAAAGAAGAAGCAGTTCCTACGTCGTTTGCCAAGAATTTACATTAAAACGACCAGGTGCAGGGGCGGCGCCTGTGGCTCAGTGGGTAGGGCGCCGCCAGCTTCATATACCAAGGGTGGTGGGTTTGAACCCGGCCCCCACAAAACTGCAACAAAAAAATAGCCAGGCGTTGTGATGGGCACCTGTCGTCCCAGCTACTCAGGAGGCTGAGGGAAGAGAATTGCCTAAGCCCAGGAGCTGGAGGTTGCTGTGAGCTGTGTCGCCACAGCACTTGTCCGAGGGTGACAAAGTGAGACTCTATCTCTTAAAAAAAAAAAAAAGATAAAACTACCAGGTGCAGTGGCTCATGCTTCTAATTCCAGCACTTTGGGAGGCTGAGGCAGGAAGACCACTTGAGGCCAGCCTGGGCAACACAGTGAGACCTTATCTCTACAAAAAAATAAGAAAAATTAGCTGGGTATGGTGGCATGTACCTGTAGATCCAGCTACTTAGGATCTTGAGGCAGGAGGATTGCTTCAGCCTAGGAGTTTGAGGCTGCAGCAAGGTATGATCATCATACCACTGCATTCCAGCCTAGGCGACAGAGCAAGACCTTGTGTCTAATTTTAAAAAATTACAGGAGTGAGAGTGGTGGCTCACACCAGTAATCCTAGCACTCTGGGAGGCTGAGGCGGGTGGATTACTTGAGCTCACAAGTTTGAGACCAGCTTGTGCAAAATTGAGACCCACGTCTCTACTAGAAATAGAAAAACTGAGGCAAGAGGATTGCTTGAGCTTGAGTTGGAGGTTGCTGTAAGGTATGATACCACGGCACTCTACCCAGGGCGACAGCTTGAGACTTTGTCTCACAAAATAAATAAATAAATAAATATATAAAATAAGAAATAAAAAATAAGGCCAGTCAGATGGCTCACACCTGTAATACCAGCACTTGGGAGGCTGTGGTGGGTGGATTGCCTGAGCTCACAGGTTTAAGACAGCCTGAGCCAGAGTGAGACCTCATCTCTAAAAATAGCTGGGCACTGCGGCAGGTGCCTGTCGTCCCAGTTACTTGGAAACTGAGGCAAGAGAATTACTTGAGCCCAAGAGGTGGAGGTTGCTGTGAGCAGTGGTGCTACAGCACTCTACTGAGGGTGACAAAGTGAGACTGTCTCCAAAACAAATAAATAAATATTAAAAATTACATTAAAATAACACAAGCTATTGATTAGCTATACATTGTTCTTTACATCAAGGATTCTATGAACAGGAAAATAACGGGTGAGGCAGTTAATCGGGAACAAAATGCCTTTAGCTCAGACTACCCTAAATTATTTTTTTTTCCTCACTGCTGATGCATGGAATGCTATATTAGAATAGAGATTATAGGAAGAAAGCAAGGTATTATGCCTGAGAAGAGCATTTACTTTACAAACATGTTCCATCAACGACTTACAGGTGCAGAATGAGGATGTGGTTTGGGGCGAAGGTGAAGTGGAATAAGAAAAGTGTCACATGTCACATGAAGTGACAAGATGAACCAGCCATTGCACAACTAAGAATGAGAACGCCCTACTGATCAACGATTCAGTCCCGTCATTGGTACCTTTTCAAAAACATGCTAAATAAACATTATGGGAAAAAGGTCAATCTTTCTTTTTTCATTAACCTTAGTTTAGAAGTGACAATAGGAAAAGATAATTCCAGCAGAACTCTGTCTTCCTTTGTGTAAGCTCCCACCCATCCGGGAGCTTTGAAGAGATACAGAGAAGAGTCACTATTTCCCTTTTATTCAAATGCGAGAGGTCATTTGTATATTGAAAGAAATATGGCCTTCTGCAGCAGAAAGAGTGTATATTATATAATTCCATGCTGTGCAGATCTTGTTGAAGATAGTAAAAAGTGGAAGCCTTAAACCAAGCCAGACATGTGCAGTATATACCTACACAAGCACACACACAGCTCACGTTAATTTCGTACCCCCCCAATACCCTGTGAACATACAGTGTTGTAATGTGGAAGATCCAAAGTTAACAAAACAGTACAACATAAATTAATGTGTGATAGGTGTAAGGAATGAATTAACAGTTATGGGAAGGTAGAAAAGGAAAAGATTGCTTCTATCTCAAATATCTAGGAAGAAGGACAAAATTTGAACTGAATTTTGAAGAACGGATTGGACATTAGGAATACACTTCGTGCAGAGGGAATGCTCTGAGTTATGGTGATGAAAAAAGAAAAAAAACTGTGATATTTTATGCATGGGATATATGTACCAGGGAGTAGTGTAAAACTGCAAGGTAGGCTTGGCACCCATAACTCAGTGAGTAGGGCGCCAGCCACATACACCGAGGCTGGTGGGAATGAGTCTGGCCCCAGCCTGCTAAACAGCAATGATAACTGCAACCAAAAAATTGCCGGGCGCTGAGGCAGGCACCTGTAGTCCCAGCTACTTGGGAGGCTGAGGCAAGAGAATCACGTCAACCCAAGAGTTGGATGTTGCTGTGAGCTGTGATGCCATCGCACTCTACGGAGGGTGACATAGTGAGACTGTCTCAAAAGCAAAACAAAACGAAAACGGCAAGGTAGTTTAGTTTGGAGTTGCATCAGTCTCATTGTTAGTTTTATTCCCGAGGCAATGGGGAGCGTTTAAAGTTTTTGTGTGTCTGATGCTGTTGAACTATACTTTTAAGAAGTATATGGCGACAGGAAGGATAGCAGGGAAACCAGCGAGGAAAAGGTTTCAATAGTCCAGGGGAAAGAAAATGAGGATGTGCAACTAGGGTGGTGGCACTAGGGATGGAAAGTCTTGACAAAAACCTTCACAATAATCTAAGAGCTTTGCCTAGACTTTCCCTTGGTGGATTCTTTCCAGACAGGAACTGATAAAAGGGCATTCTACTGATAGAAAATAACATTGACTTAGAAATCAATTTTAGATAAAAGCAATTGAATTGTAAACTCAGGATGTTTGGCTGAATGGTCCTGGATTTCAAAGATATTTTCTCCACTTACATACCTGATAAAATTCCCATATCAGTCGGGGCTTTGTGAGAGAGCCAGGAGGGGGATCTAAGGTGGAATTTAGAACTTACTGACAATGCTCAGAATTATCAAATTAGGGCAGGGCATTTCTTCGGAAGGGAAGTTCCTATTTTCAAAGTTCTTCCAACTGAACTTTTATGTTAGAGAAGTGGAAGTGACTGGGGAGTGGAGCTACAGCCCCTTTGGCTGGGATCAGCAGTCAGCAGCGGTGTCACAATTTCTGTGTAGAGCAGAGCAGCGGCGAAAACAAAACAACAAAAAAAGAAGTGCCTGCAAGGAAGAAGAGCTCGGAGTGTCCCAAGCCTTGGTGGGGCCTACTGTGGCTCCAACAATGTGCATCATTCACATTCCTGTCCTTGGTGGCCTCTTAGCGAGCAGTTAAAAATCCCAGAGAGCGGAGAAATAAATTTTCCTCTTTTTCCCCACCATCCTCTCACAATATGAAGAAACAAATAACTCGAAGCTCAATTTCCTCATATGTCAGGCGTGGGGGAAAGACCCAAAGTTAAGATTCTTCCCATCACTACCTGTAGGAATTTAAACGTTGCCAGAGACGCACTCCAGGAGGGCCACACGCCAGCCCACAAGAAACATGGAGAGCTCGGCTTCGGCTTAGTGCGCAGACTCCATGTTGGACTCACTCCCGCTTCTCCAGCAGAGGGCGCAGGCACGAAAGTTTCCGCCGGCCCCGCCCCGGGATGGCCCCGCCCCGCCCCGCCCCCGGGGTAGGGGCGGGGGAGACCGGCGCGGAAACTTGGCCGCGGCTTTCCGGGGGCTGTGGCCGAGCGGGCGGCGCTGGAGGAGGTGGCGCAGGGGGCGTCGCTGCCCAGTCCGGACGCTGCCGGCAGCTTCCTGGAGCTCGCCAGTCAGCCAGTGCGTCTCGGGCGCGCGCCCAGGGTACTCCCCCTGCTCGAAGCTCGCTCTGGGGAGGGGCGCGCCCCGCGGTCTGCCGGTACCGCCCACTCTCCTCCCAGCGGCCGCTCCTCCCTCCGCCCGGATAGCCGGCGGCGGCGGCGGCGGTCGGGAGAGGCCCCTCCTTCACGCCTTCCTTCTTTCGTTCGCTCGCAGCCGAGCGGAGCCGGCTGACCCGGCTGGGCCCCCCACCTTCCCTGGGCCATGGCCGGCAACGTGAAAAAGAGCTCTGGGGCCGGGGGCGGTGGCGGCTCCGGGGGCTCGGGCTCTGGAGGCCTGATCGGGCTCATGAAGGACGCCTTCCAGCCGCACCACCACCACCACCACCTCAGCCCCCACCCGCCGGGGACGGTGGACAAGAAGATGGTGGAGAAGTGCTGGAAGCTCATGGACAAGGTGAAAGGAGTGCGGAGGACCCGCGGGAGCAGGGTGGGCGTGGGCGGAGGGCCGCGGGGAGGGGAAGGAGCGGGCAGAGGAAGCTGGGGGAGGGGACGGGTCCTGCGAGGCTGGGGAGGTGAGGAGCCGGGGTGACCGGCCGAGGGGGCGGGGGCTGGGGGTATGGGGTGGGGAAGAGATCAGGAAACTGGGGGTCAGCGGTGGGGAAAGGCTGAGCTTGGAAGTAGGGGGACGTTAAGGTGTTGTGTTGGGGGTAGCGAGACAAAGATGGGGTGGGGGCTGGGGTGAAGGTTAACTGGGAAGCCACCTGGGCGGAAGTATGATGGGGGGTGTGTGGAGTTTGGGGTTCGGTGCTGGGTGTAGGGATGTGGGTCGCGAATGGGCCGGGAGAGATGGGGGAGGAGTGAAGAAGAGTGTTTGACCGGCTAGGGCTCTCAGCTGGCTGAGGAGTCGAAATCTGACTAGGGAAATAATGTTTATGGGTTCTGATTGGAGAACGTGGGGTCAGGACAACTCCGCAGGCAAACTGTGCCCTGGGTGAGCATATAGTTTTACCATTAAGATGTAACACCAAGATCTAAGAAATAGGGATGTTTAAATGGGGCAAGGAAGGAACTTCCCTCCGCATCAAGCTCTGGCTCAAGTTTTTTGTTATCTTCGGTAACATTGGATGTGATCCATTGCTGGTGCTGAGATATGCACTGATTAAACCACAAGTTCTGGTTAGAACCATTATCTTCTGAAAGATGAATTGACTGAGCCTGCTAAGCAACAGATTCTGACTTATTCATAACTTCCTCCCTACACACACCGCTTTTAGTTGGGTTCTTATTTTTAATAAGGGCCTGAATCCTTATTAACGGGCCTGACTTTAAGCTTGTTCCATGAGCTTCTTTGATTACCTCTTTTTCTTTTCTAGCAAGTTGGAAAAAAATAACTCCATTATATTTTAGCCACTAAGTTTGTCATTTGCGAGAATTTTACTTCCTTATAGTTATGTCTATATGTGAAATATGCCGTCGTAGTCCCAAGTACTTCAAGTGTTTAAGCAGCCTAACACTTTTGTAAAATTCAACAGAATCTTTCTTTAATATTTTTCATATTCATTAACTAATAACTTATTTAGGCAAAATTCATACTGCAGATGAAAAGCAGTTTGAAGGATCTGGCGTGTTATAAGAGAATGGTGTTATTTCCTTCAGAGTAAAACTGGTTTTTGGTTCCTCTCTGGGCCTAGGTTCCTCTTCTGTAAAATTCATCATGGGTTGTTTTGGAGTAGAAACCACTAATAAAATGATTATGAAGCACTTGGCAAATGTAAATGAGCTATTTAAATACTTAATAAGTCCTGTGTGTGAATTAACAGTCCTGTAGTGCATGCCAGTGGTTTCAGAGATGCTTTCAGAGCTGGTTTTTCTCACGTTAAATAATTGGTGTTGCAGTTAACGACACAAGTGTTTGTGTTTGATTATATTGATGGTGTCATACTAATTTTATTACCAAAAGTTCTAATAAAATCATTGCAGGAAGTGAGATGTGAAAGGAAACTTTAAATGTGTTGACCCCTTTGAGAACTATTGACTGTATTAAAAATTTGAAATTTGGAGATTTGCATTTTAGGAATTTGCTGTTCGGGACTAAAAAAGTTCCTCTATTAGGCAGATGTGGTGGCCTGTGCCTGTAGTCACAGCTACTTGAGAGGCTGAATGAAGCAGGAGGATCACTTGTGTCTAGGAGTTTGAGGTTGCAGTGAGCTATGATGACACCACTGCACTCTAGCCTAGACAGTAGGGCAAGACTGTTCCAAGAAAAAAGTGTTCCTGTGACAGAAAACATATTTACATTTCTAATTACTTTGTCCTAAAAGACATAAGGGTGCTGTATGTCAAAATTGTATTGATTAGTGACCTCTGCTTAAAAATAAACTTTTTATGATTTTTCTGTGTTTCTGTCAATAAAGCATACATTATAGATAGTCCTTTTTCTTCCTATCTATAGGAGTCGTATCCTCCTGTAAGTCTTATTCCTTCTTTCATTAAAGTATGTGTATTGAATTTTGACGTCTTCTGCAGAATGTTTAATTAGTAGGGAGGTATGAAGAGGCCTCAAGTTTGGGGTTGATTTGCTTTTCCATTCTAGGGTAGGGAAAGGGATATTTTATTTTCATATTGCTAACCTCAGAAAATGATTTTAGTACCATCTGTGCCCTTCACCACAAATGTCTGGATTGAAAGCTTAGTACTTTCTGATATGTTAGTTCAGTAGTTGGGAGTGCTTTGCACACTTTCTGAATACTTCTGTAATGTTGTTAGATTGCACCATCTCTTTTACCCTTGATGTTCTGTGCATAGGGTGTTCTTTTTTTCCACTTTATTTTTATTGCTCAGAGTCTTCAATGTGTCACTACACCTTCTTGACCTCATGTCGTATGATACAAGTGGTAAAGAACACATAAACAGTTGTCCAACATGTATATTCTATTTAGTTCTAGATCACCATTTCATGTAAGTTTATTATAATAACCTATGGTGGCAAAAATACCTAGCGGCTGACTGTCAAACTTTGGTTTAATAATCAGCAGTCTAGCAGAAGCATTTTGCTAATGAGTTTAAGTTCTAGAACGGATTAGTAAATCAGTAAACTGGCCGATGTTGACCAGAACCCATGACTTATGCCAGCTTCTTCATCTGCATACATTCAAGGTTGGGGGAGGGGAGAAGACTGTTTCCAGTGGTAACTCAATAAATTAGGAGTAGGCTGGAGTGATATTCATGTAGCTTCAATGACAAGGACAAAACATACGTATGAAAAAATATATACTGGGCACAATAAGAGATTAACAGTAATAAGAAAAGAGAACAATTATAACAATAAACTGTAATAAAAGTTATATGGGATGGGTGCAGTGGCTCATGCCTGTAATCCTAGCACTCTGGGAGGCCGGGACCGGTAGATTTTGCCTGAGTTTATGAGTTCGAGATTAGACTGAACCAGAGCCAGACCTCGTCTCTAAAAATAGCCGGGCGTTGTGGCAGGCGCCTGTAGTCCCAGCTACTTGAGAGGCTGAGGCAAGAGGCTTGAGCCCAAGCGTTTGAGGTTGCTGTGAACTATGATGCTACGGCACTCTATGGAGGGTGACAAAGTGAGACTCTGTCTTAAAAAAAAAAAAAAATTTACATATCATTTTCTCTCTCATATCTTTTTTTTTTTTGAGACAGATCCTCAAGCTATCCCCCTGGGTAGAGTGCTATGGCATCACAGCTCACAGCAACCTCCAACTCCTGGGCTCAAGCGAGTCTCCTGCCTCCGCCTCCCAAGTAGCTGGGACCACAGGTGCCTGCCACAACGCCCGGCTATTTTTTGGTTGCAGCCATCGTTGTTTGGCGGGCCCAGGCTGGATTCGAACCGGCCACCTTAGGTGTATGTGGCTGGCACCTTAGCCACTTGAACCACAGGCGCCAAGCCTTTTTTTTTTTTTATTTTTAAAAATAAGACAGAGTCTTACTCTTACCCAGGCTGGGGTGCCATGGTGTCAGCCTAGCTTATAGCAGCCTCAGACTTCTGGGTTGAAGCTATCCTCCTAAGTAGCTGGAACTAGAGGTGCCTACCACAATGCCTGGCTCATTTTTGTATTTTTACTGGAGATGAGGGTCTCACACTTGCTCAGGCTGGTCTCCAACCTGTGAACTGAGGCAGTCCACCCACCTTGGCCTCCCAGAGTGCTGCAGTTAACAGGTGGGAGCCACAGCACCCGGCTAAGACAGAGTCTTGATTGTTCTGTCATCTGGGTTAAAGTGCAGTGGCATTATCATAGCTCACTGTCACCTCCAAGTCTTGAGCTCAAGTGATACTCCTTCCTCAGCCTCCCTTCCTCAGCCTCCCGAGTAGCTGTAACCACAGGCAAGCCCTACCACACTTGCCTAATTTTTCTATTTTTCACAGAGACTGGGTCTAAAACTCCTGACCTCAAGTGATCCTTTTGCTTTGGCCTCTCAGAGTGGTAGGATTATAGGGATGAGCCACTGTGCTGTACCTGGTTAATATTTAACATTTTATAGAGATGGGGGGGGTCTCCCTATTCTCTTGTCCCATTGGGGTGATTTATTTATTTATTTATTATTTTTTTGAGACAGAGTCTCACTATGTCACCCTCAGTAGAGTACCGTGGTGTCACAGCTCATAGCAACCTCAAACTCCGGTGTTCAAGTGATTCTCTTGCCTCAGCCTCCCAGTTAGCTGGGACTACAGGTGCCTACCACAACGCCTGGCAATTTTTTTTTTAAATTGTAGTTGTTGTTTAGCAGGCCCCAGCTGGGCTTGAACCTGCCAGCTCTGGTGTACGTGGCTGGCACTGTAACCACTGTGAGCTACGAGCACCGGGCCCCAGGATTTTTTTTTTTTTTTTTTGAGATAGTCTCAAGCTGTCGACATGGGTATAGTGCTGTGGAATCACAGCTCACAGCAACCTCAAACTCCTGGGCCCCAAGTGATTTCTCTTGCCTCAGCCTCCCAAGTAGCTGGGACTATAGGTGCCACAATGCCCAACTGTTTTTTTGTTGTTGTTGCAGTTGTCGTTGTTTTAGCTGACCCGGGCCAGATTCGACCCGCCAGCCTCAGTATATGTGGCTGGCGCCTTACCCACTGAGGTACAGGTGCCAACCCCAGGATGATTTTTTAATGAGCTATAATTTGTTAGAAAAAAATGCTTGTCTTTAAAGCATGAATTTTTAAAAGTATTTCCATTTTTTTCAGTGCTTAATGTATAGTAGAACCTCTGTAGTTGACTACCTCCCTACATTGACTACCTCCTTAAGTTGACCTAATTTTCATAGACCAGACACACACCACATGTACTCTGTGGAGGACTGACTTCTGTGTTGAACACCTCTATAAGTTGTATCTGGACCCCTTGAACTGTGACACACAATATCAATTTGTCCTCTATAACTTGACCATTTGAATCTATTGTATACCAAGGGGTAAAAGGTGTGGGCTTTGTT